CCCCAAAACCCCAAAACCCCAAAACCCCTATAATATACAGCAAAATTGACGGTTAGAAATAGGGGGTTCGCAAGACATATAATTACAACTAAGATTTATACAGATATTTGTTCAACAAGCTCAATGAAGTGTTCAGTGGTCTTTTCTCTCTGTGAGTCTGAGCCTTCAGGTTATTCGCAATCGAGCATAGAGGTAATCTTAGGTCTTTGTTAGTTTCAGTTAGCTTCGGAGACTTTTCACGAGGAGAAGGATCACTATCAGCTCCTAAACTTGGCTTCTTTCCAGAGAAGATATTCGCATGAAGAAGATAATCCTCTTCAGAGTTGAAATCAGATGTGTCTCTTATCCCATTAGAGATGGCAATAGAGGATATTTCTTTATTTTCTTTATTTCTATTCATAGAAAGATTATTCTCTACAGCTTTCCTCATCTCTGTGATTTCTGTCTTATCTTGCTCATTATGTGCTTCTATAACTTCTTTGAAAGCATTTAAGATTCGTTAGTTGTTCTTGATGTGACCTTTTTGTTGTAGTAATCGTTAAGTTTTCTCCTAACAGAATTTAGCACTCAATTTTTCTATAAAACTTAAAGAAAGGCTTACCTCACTTAACTTCTTTGAAGGAACCTCCTCTGCTTTCTTATGGGAATCATCTGCGGACTCAGAAGGATAACTGGCGAGATTATCTTCCATCGAAGTGAGTGCCATAGAACTACTCCTGGCCACCATGTCTACTCGAGGATTTTCTAGCTCAGTTATGGTAAACTCTTCAGGAGAAATATCTAAGTTATTAAGATGGTCCTTCACACCGGACTTATTATGCGGCATAATATTCAAGTGAGAATTAGCTGAAGGAATATTGGAATCCAAGTTCTTCTTACTATTCAAACGGATATTCATCTGAGGAGCTACTCCAAAGGAGACACGCGAACTTTGCTTCTCTTTCTTACCAAGCCTGTTTGATTTTTTGGAGCTCTTAATTGAGTTAATCTGTCTTTCTAAATCGTATTCTGAACACTTCTTACCTGCTTTTATATTCTCTTGGGAAACTCTTCTCACTTTCTTGTTCTTTCTAGGATTATTTTGCTCAAAATTAGTGAATTTCTCACTAGATTTGCTATTTTTCTTGCCTTGCTTTCTACCACATGTCTTTGGAGTGAGGGTAAACTCTTTGAATTCCTTCTGTTTACGTCTTTGTTCACCTTGAGTAGCTTGCTTAATGGCAGCCATAGTTCTTTTGTGGATCTTGTTCTTCATATTTTTGGTAATTTTCAGATCAGTTACTTCAAAACATCCTTGATCTGGTTCCTTAAATGAACCAGCATGAATATTCTTACGGAGGTTAATCTCTTCTTTTTCTGGGGCAATCTGCATGCTTGTGCTCCTTAATAACTGAGTCTCACTTTCCTTATGGTGGTCTCGAGAAGTGTAGCTTTTATGGATGTTGTTTTCTTGAAAAAGCTGATCGGTTTTCTCAAAATTCTCTGGCTTTTGAGCTAGTTCTAACCCCCAAGATTTCCTTGGAGTTAACCTCTGTTTTAGATCTGAGGAGCTTTGATAATTCTTAAGTCTAGTATTCCAAATTTTCCCAGGAATTAGTTTTGACATCTCAGTCTCTGCATTTACTATGAAGCTATTTACTTAAAATCTTACCATTTTGATCTTTGGGGGTCGCTAGCTGAGACTCAAAGATACTATTCCCAGTCCGCTCCTTACAGCTTGGTGTCATAAATATGTTGTGCGATTGATACGGAGAGACAGGCTCTCGCAATATCTTACTATGTCCATATGAATCTCTGGAAAATTTGACATGGAACTCCTGAAAACCTAATTTGTCCTTATGATCATCTATGAGAAATTGTAAACATAAATTATCAATCAGGAATCAAAATAAAGTACTTTGGCAGAAGACTCTGAAGCTATCATCGAGATCATCTTCAGGAACCTCGATGTTCTCAGTGATTTTGATTAACTCTTTATCTTTTGCCTTCTTGGGTCATTTCTTGGTCTTTCATATCTTCTCTTTCGGTCTTGAATTCACCTTCTTTTTGGACTTTCCCCACTGCATTGTTTACAACGTTTTCAAAAATTTAAAATGATAAAGGGGTTTTGGGGTTTTGGGGTTTTGGGG